TTGTGTACTAATGAGGGAGTTTTTCTTTTGCTTTTCAAGGAGAGGAGCAAACGGGGGGGAGGGGTTTGTGCGGGAAGAAGGGTGCAACAATGAATGAATGGAATCCCAAAATCTCTGTAGATGTTCATTGAAATGAAAAATAAACAACCTAAATTAAAAAAAAAGTCGGTGGTTTGAACACACTAGCCTTTCTACACTAGAAAGATGAGCCAATCTGATTTTGTAAAAAATTATAGCCTGTGAAATTCTACAATCCAGTTCCTCTCTGTTGCATAGGATCATTGCAAGTCACAATTGACTTGATGATAGCAGTTTGATGAAGTTATAGACAGGAATCACCAGAGCCTTTAGATTAAAACAGATTAGAGTAAGACTCTAAAGATCTCCCTTCAAGAATTAGCCAACAACAAACTTATGTATAACAAGAAAACAGTGCCCAAGAAGGTGTTGAATAATGAACCTCCAAGTTGGAAAGTACTCAGAATATGATGGGAACAGAAGTGCCTTCTCAAAACAGAGTTGACCTTAAGGATGGGAATGGAGTGAAAGCATTAGGAACCTCCATTGCTTTGTGTAGAATGAACCAAGGAAAATGAAAAGTTATCAAAATGAGAATAAATCAATAGTAAAAGACATTTTGTTTGATATAATGGAGAATCAATGGAACAAAGATAAATCCTTTATGAGCTAGATTTCTACAATAGAAAGGAATTATGAGTTTGCATTATAGTATTAGGTTAATGTTATAGAGGGTGACCTCTATACAGCAATTTGTTAAATCTATGTCTCTTGAGGAGCACGTAATATCTGTGAGGTTATGAACACTTTCCATCTGCTTGAGCTTAAACTTTGGTTACTAAAAATTACCTATCTTCAAATATCTTTGTCTCAGCATTGCCCCTCTACATACTACCTGATAAGGGGAGAGAAGAAATAAAGAATTTAAAGCTAGAAGAAACTTTTTCTTCTAATTCAACTAACCAGATAGTGAATTTTTAGCTCGAATCAGTTGAAAATACACCTTGGTTCAATTGTGATCCTGTGGGAACATTCTGTTTCCTCGGGCAACTTGAAAAATATGTTTATTACAGAGGGCATGCTTAATTCCAGTGACAAGTATGAGAAGGAACAAGAGGGGATGAACTATAAATTATTATAATTTGGGGTAATTTCAGAATTAAGAGGGAAATATTTTCAATTAGTTGCTAGATTAATTGGTGAGAAAGAAATCATTGCTAGAAAATGTTGGACTTTATAGAGTTGGACACTGCCTTTAAAACTTCTAATTTTAAAGATGTTTATAAGATGAAAACATGAAAATTTAAGGGTTTTTTTCTTGATACTTTTAAAACATGACAGCACTGAAATGTAGAATTCCATGTTTTGGGGTGCTTAGGAACTCTGAATTATATGTTTTAAATTTATTTCTGTTGCTGTTGAGAACTTTTAACAATTCAACAATTTCAGTGACACTAATTATTTCTTCAAATTGTGTAACCATTCCAAGTTTCCTAACTTGCCCTCCCTGTTTATATAAACTCACTACTCCAGGTTTCCTATTTAGTCTTTTGGGTTACTGCTGTCAATTTTTCCTGCACAGGTAGCTCTTAGCATATACTATTCAAGGCAAATATTATAATTATTTTTTAAAACAAAATTCATTAAAAAGCATTTTAGGGCAACAAAACAGAGGCATAGAAAGGTAGAGGCAGGCAGCACAAAAGAGTTGAAGTGAATAAGAGAAGTGGTAAAGTGCAACACTCTTTACCAGTTTAGCTAAACTCTTGTTTGGCTTTAAGACAACTTCAGAGGATATATTTGTTAATTTAAATTAAAATGAAATTAAATTTAAATGTTGTGTAAGGAGAGTAGCTTTAGAGAGGGGTAGGAGATCATTCAGTCTCCATGAATCTTGAAAGTTAGAGTCTGTGAGAATTTTTAATCTTGTACTTTCTTTCTATAATGGTTCTTCAATAGAATCTTTGGTCAGAATGTTTGATGTTGTTATCCAGCAGCCATCTAGTTATCCTAGTCTCATGGGAAAAAGAGATGGTTTATGTACAGCCAAACACTTAATGGATTTTGGTTTGGAGGTTTAGGATCACAAGTTCATGGAACATCCCCGTTCCATGACACATCCCAGTTCTCAATTAACTTGACCAAAAATCCTGTTTAGTGTTTCTTTTCTATCTGCTACTTTATTGTGTAGTGCCTGAAGGCCTGAAGGCAGCCATGCAGAATATAATTTATCTCTATTTTCTAGAAACAAGAAAAGAAAAAGGAGTGTCAGATATAATTGGGGGGGAGGGATTTGGCTACTATATGGGTTTAAAAGAGGTTGTGTCACTAGATGCACCAGATGAATCTCCGCAAAAAGCAAAGAGTAACAAAATGTTTATCTGTGTTTCATTGACTATACGAAGACATTTGACTCTGTGGATCACAAAAAATTGTGGCTAACCTTGA